TGTTGGAGAGGGAGGTGAGAAGGATTCCGATTTTCTCAAAATGACTTCTTTGCAGCTCACGTGACTCTGCCCAAAATAGTCGTCGCATTTGTCGTCTCTCGCAATCACCTCGCAGTTCATCTACGTCATGTCCACATCCACTGACTGCCGCCTTTTACATGCTCATATACATCTCCAAATACTAATGTGCGTGCGTCCAAATCATCATTATAATCATTGCTTGATTATCCTCGCCTGCATCTCATTCTCCACAGTCTTCATCACCGACGTCTTCTTTTGTTTCCACCTCCAGTTCTACCTCTTCGTCCCTACTATTCTTGACTTCTTCAAGGATGGACTGGAAGATGATTGCAAGAATGATGTAGACGGACTCGAACGTGGTGTTGTAGATGAATCCCACTGCGACACAGGGCATTCATCCGTTTGTTGTACCATTTGTCCATTTCTCATCCATCCACCCGCCCATCCTCCCCTCCAGCCATCTATCCACTACCCACCCATCCATTTATCATTACTTCTCTCCTCTCTTCTACCAGTGAACTCATGCTTTCTCTTTGTGCACTATTTTCTAGAACTCACTGTGCTCTTCCACAGTATCACCCACAAAAGTCCTCTGGCATTTTACCAACCGGAGAATCTGTCCTCGACCTCGGTCAATGTCTCCTGTACATTGAAAGGATGTAGGGGATGTGATTCCTTGCATCAAAAGTCAAGTCACTCACCTTGTAGTTACTTTTGCTGTTTGTGGAAGCGCTGGACAACTGAGCATCAGGCAGGAGTCCGATGATCATCTACACGACTCCGAACATTCAAATTTGGAGCTGCCTTATCAGGTGGAAGTTGATGGACATACGCCGGCAACATTGACTTGGAATTGGATCGAGATACAGCTACTGCTAATAGCGCTGTAAATTGAGACGATAGTGCCCTCAAAGGGGAGAGAAGTTTTGGCGAAGGCAAAAGAGGAGATGAAGAGGAAGATGTGGTGAAGGAGGAGAAGGACGCTGAGCATGCACCAGGAATGGGTGAAGGGGAAAGGGAGGGGGAAGACAACGATGGCCATAAATTCGACCACGGTATTGCCATGAACATAGAAGTAGTAAAGGAAGGACATGGAGATGAGGATGATGACAAGGAATGATGACGAACATGGACATGAAGACGTCGATGCTGAAGGGCACGTGCCTATTTAAGAAGTGGCTG